TTTTTTTTGTTGTGTGTGTGGGGGGGGGGGGTAAAATGGTGTCTTTCTTTCCTTTTAATGATATGCTTCCTCCATCATTTTGGGTGCCCTATTTAAGCTGTACCCTTGTACTAAGCTAAATGATTTGAAAATCTTTTTCCATTTATTGACAAGTCAAATTGATTATTTTCCCGTATGAAATATGATGAAATGGAAAAAGAAATTAGATGTTTGGAAAATAAAAAAGACACACACACACACACACACACACATATATATATATATAGATAGATAGATAGATAGATAGATAGATAGATAGGGAGGGAGGGAGGGAGAGAGAGAGAGAGTATCTTTCTTAGGGGTTTACAGAAAGATTACATTGTGAAGAAGACATACTTTTTGTACAAGTCAAAGTAGTAGGATAATATTGGTAGAATAACATATGTACGCCTTTGGATATTGGTCCCCAAGAAAAGATAATCATTTGCACCTAATTCTCCTGGTTGGAACTTTTCCCTGTGAACTTGCGTCTTGCTCCATTTTACTTGCCAGGTTAACAAGTCTCTCCTGTCGGGATTTTCAAGTTCACATTTACATTGGTCATCCCGCAAATTCTTTCTTCTGGTTGATTTGAACTGTGAACTTTCAAATCCTAAAGGTTTGTTTAGACTGAAAACTGTAGGTTGCTAAACCTGCATATTAGGGTTAGGTGGGAGGATGGGGGTGTGGAGGAGCGGCAGAGGAAATAAGTGAGGAGGAAACCATGAAGAAAGTTTTTTACAGCGACCTAAGATTTTTAACTAATATCTAAGTTATTGAAATTCCACTTTTTCTTACAACATTGCAAATTAGCTCTTCTAGTATTGTTTATGATTTTAACTTGCATTTAATTCTCTAAATGCAGCTTGTTGCAGCACTGACCCCTTGACATTTGTGGAGGAAGTCTCAGATGGTGTACAATATTTAGCTCTAGGTCCAACCTGTATCATTCTTCCAGTAATTGTGTCCTGACCCTCCAGTTTTTTCTATTTTGTTAGATTATAGTAATTTGAAGAGTGAGAGACAAATCCTTTTATATGTTGTAAGTTGTAACTGCCATCCCAATAGAACAGTAGGTTAAATATCATTCATCCGGCAAAGTATGAAATAAAAATGCCCTTGCTTTTGGCATTCCATTTTACATTCATAGTTCTCAACTCAGTCCTTTCCCAGCCATTCCCCTGGATAAGCGCACACACTGTCAAAAGGCTGTCATAAGTAGCGTTGATTGGATATCCAGAATAAGATTCAATATGCTATGTTCCTTCCTAGTTCAGTTTGAAGATTTACCATCAATTTAATATTCGCTTCTCTTCTAAGTCTAAAGAATGTTATTTGCACTTGTGACATATAATCAACTAATCAAGTGGTGGAGCCTGTTGAATTGAAGGCCAGTGAGTTCTTTGTTGTGAGAACCTCCTGGATTAGAAAAAGAAGTTGATTATGGCTTGTCACAATGATAATTGTAGTTTTAACAGTTTTTCTTTTAACAGTTATTGAAGGCATGGAAATTATGTTAGGCTATAAGATTTTTGTTGGGAGAAAGTCCCTTGTACATTGTATGGGTCAAAATCTAATTGAAGGACCTCGCCTGAAGTAGGGAAATCAAGAATCAATTAGGCCGAGATCATGCTTAAGAAGCAACACTGGAGAGCTGAGCAGCGAATGTCGAGGTCGAGCACTCAGATCGGCCAAAACGGCTAGTTTAGCAATAAGGTATTTCTAAAGAATATTTAGGGGAATATTCCCTGTATTTGTACTTTCAGTAGGTAAGGGGAATGTCCCATATAAGTAGGAATAGAGAGAGAAAAAATGGGCATCTAATTTTCTATCTTGATAAGCTCTCTCTAGAAAAGTTGACTCCCACATAACTACAAGCATTGTCTTTATACAAGATTGGATTTGCTGTGTTGTTCCAAGCTTTCCCGCGTCAGATCCGATAAAGTGTTTGATATTCCCACCTTTGGTTATCTTACATCATTGTCAGAGGGAGAATCATTCACCTCGTTATACATTTGGGTGAATTATTCTCTTCATTTACAGCTATGTTCATCATATTTATTGCTTGTACTCACTTCCTCATTTATTCACAAGAATGTCATTAAGGCTTTTAATAGCTTTAAATGCGGTTTCTAGATTATTACTACCCATCAATCTTGGATCTAGGACTTATTACATTTAACTAGAATTTACCTATTATCATTTACTTAATTAGTTTAACAAAAAAGTTTAACACTTTTTGGTCAAACAATTTGACGCCGTCTGTGGGGATTTTCTAGTTCAAAGTTCTAGTTTTTTCTAGATCTAAAAAAAAATGCACAAAACTTTGCACAGTCTTGTATCCCGTTGTTTGCACAGATCTGACATGGCAGGCAATGGAGAAGAAAAGAGAAAGGCGATAGCTGATCTCACCGCCAATCTCCTAAACACCATCAATGAAACTCATGGAGAGGACGAGGAGAACGTGACACCAAGCGCCTCACCCAGGCGAAGTGATTCACCCCCACCTGATGGCAGCGTTACCGCTTCTCATGGAAAGGGAGCCTCTACGTCCACCACGGAAGAAGTACCACCAGCGGTAAAATAGTTACTATAAGCATGGCTAATGAATACACTGAACAATATACTCGACAAGCCCGCTCAGAGGATGAGCAGAGAGAGTGCGCGAGTCGACATCGTCACAACAACCAATGAACAGCCTCCCTCGACAGGTATCACTCACCCTGTTAATGATGCAGGTAACGACGCCCTCGCTGCCATCCATAGAAAAATGGAGAATATGGAGAACGAGAACAAAGTACTCCGCGACCAAATGAGGGAGCATTAAGAAAGGGTAGATAAGATACCGGGCGCCCCAAAACTCCTACCAAAATGGGACACCGGCCGGTTTGTGGAACAACCATATAGCGACGAGGCCGCACCACATGCTATACCAAAAACTTTCAAAATGCCGCCATATTTGAAAATATATGACGGCACGATGGACCCAGAGAATCACGTGACCCACTACGTCACTGCAGTGAAAGGCAACGACCTTGCAAAAGAACAAGTATCATCCATATTGCTGAAGAAGTTTGGAGAGACCCTAATCGGCAGGGCCCTGACTTGGTACTCGCGGTTACCGCGCGCTCCATAGAAACGTTAGAAGAAATGGCCGATAAGTTCGTCACCGCCCATGCCGAGGCCAAGAAAGCGGAGGCAAGGGTGAACGACATATTCGCCATCAAGCAATCTCCTGGCGAACACCCCACACTTAAATCTTTGCTCGTCCTCGAGCAAGTTGAACCACACTTCTAGGCCTATTCGTTAGATGCATTACCCTTTTTATGTCACACCTGCTATTATGAAAGAACAACCTAAGCAGTGCAACAACCACACCTCAGATGAAGACTCTAATGCCATGCCACACTTATGTTTACTCTATGTACTCTACACAGAAGTGAAGACTTGCTTTTTCTTCTTGAGTTAAATGCCCTCACATCACATTTTTTAGAGAAGTTCCACACACATGAAATCAAACAACAAGGAACTGTAGAATAAACGAATTCACTCACTCTCAGCAAAGAACATTCATATGCCACACAGATACACCATAAGCTTACCCTTAGTGTAATACTCTACTACTGAATTGTCTAAGATCAATAGGGCTTCATTTGGTTGTAATGTAGGCTACGAGACGGTTAGGATGCATTTAGATATAAGAGTGACTACACCTCCCTAAGCACTTTAATACATACATTTTCTCGATTAAACCTCATCCTTATGTCACCCCAAAATTCCACCTTCACATCAATGTAACTACCCCATTCTTCTTTAAGCACACTTGCATCAAGAGCCACCACTTATCTAGGAGTTTTTATGTTTTTTTTTTCAATTCAAGTGGCTCTTCCTTTTTCAAACAGTGCACCTTTCTCCTTATTCAACTAGTTTCACTCGAAAGCCAAACCGACCACCCCACACTTTAACTTTTACAAGGTTCATAACAATTCAAGTGCTCATGAGAGGTGAAAAGGTTCAAATAGATGGTTAATTCAAACAAATGGGTAAGGCTTGTAATGTGGTTGCCAAAGAAAAGGATTATAGGCTCAAAGGGGTTAACTATGTTAATATGTACAGGTGGATTCATGATTATATAGGCTACACAAAGAAATGCCTAAATCATCTCTAAGACCAAACAACTACTATTTCGCTTTGCACACACACGGGGCAAGTTCTAGGTATCGCATGCAAGCACAGAATATGTGTATTACCTCACACACACTTGGCATGTAACTCATTCCGAATTAGTTTGTCAACACATTCACGTGAGCGTTCAAGTAAGACAAGGTGTGCAAAATTAAGGCATAAGATTAAGAGTCTACACGTGAGCCTAGACGTCGCACCCTCAAGTTCGTTTTAAGTATTTGCAGGTATGTACACCACGGGATGCATTCTTGCCCTCACCCATCTTAGCCCAAAAGAGTCCTAAGGGTCCTAAAATCTATTAAAGAAAAATCTACCTAACCCGGTTCAAGAAAAACCCTTCGAAAAGAACCGCTGTCAAAAGAAAAACCAAGGGGGAATTACTACACTACCTAAAAAGAAAATAAAAAAAAATCTTTTTGGCTTTTTGATTAGACTACTTCTTCAAGTTTTTTTTTATCCGACCTTAGCCCTCAAGAAACCCGTCGACAAGTGTCCGTCGTTGGGCCAAGTCGGTGACGTCTAAGCTACATACACAACAACACATATATACACTAACCATACATACACTAACCCAAGTCTCCCACCCCACACACATAGAGTATGGAATGTCCTCATATCATAAAACAATTAAAGTGCAGAAGGGTAAGAGAACTTCCCTGGTCATCAGTCGGAGTCAGAGACGGTTTTGGGATCCACGTTACAGGCCCTCCCTATAGCACGGAACTAAGCCATCACCCGGCTCTCAGACCTTGCCTGCCGTCTAGACATGGCATCCAAACGAACATGCAGGCCATCTACCGAGGTGCGAAGTTCTGCCACCTCTTCCTCCACAGAAGGAAACAAGGGTCGGTTGGAGTAGGATCTAGAGAACTCCACCCCAGTTCGGGGTTGCCGTGAGGATCCAGCTGCATCATATGACCTCCTAGGTGGTGCCATGGGTGCTGGGTCATCATCATCATCGTACAGCTCAATGGGCGTAGGTGCTTCTCTGCCCACTTTGATCTTTGACGCTCTAAAAGCTGTTCTTGGGGGTAAAGCTCCATCCGTAGGACTGACTGGGACATCAGCCAGCAGACATAACCTCGTCACAAGTGAGGGGAAGTAAAACCCCCTTAGTCATCAGAGGCGACCGGAGGATCATTTCATCTCCAAATGATTTTTAGCAACATCAACGTCCTTCCTGATCATGAAGCACCAAAACCAATAGAGCCCCGTAAGCTGTTCACAACTGTTGTGTTGCCCGTGGGCAGTAACCTGCTGCAAATCATGGTGAACCAGCACTTAGCTTCCCATGTGAACGACTTGGAATGCAGGGTCATGTTTTCCTGTATCCAAACTGGCCGTCCCCCTGAGCATATGGACTCAATCAGAGTGTCCCAATCGACCCCTGGAGAATTGTGGTAATAATCATTGTCACCAGTGAACGGAGGCAGCTGCAGGACCTGGCGAATTTTCTGTACTGAAGGCATCTACTACTTTGCCCCGCACCACCACAGAACGGCACATATGTTCCGGGCAGTTCGCGTAGAACTCCCGGACTATCATTGGGTTTGCCGTTTCAGGTTCATCGAACAAGTACTCCATCCCCCTCCGGCGAATTTCCTCGTACATGTCCGGTTTTTCGACACGGAGGGCAGCCCTGTCAATACTAATCTCCGGGACAAAGTTTTTTATGTCTTTCGCTTGAAACCTGTCCTGGGCCTCCTCGGACGTGAACTGGGTGGCATCATAAGTCGGCACGTCAGAAGTGCTTTTTGAGTTCCTACGCTTCTTTTGGGCCATAGTACCTGCAATCAATTCATCATAACTATCAGGGGCAGCCAAACATGTGCCAGTCGGATGGATACTCAGACTTCGCCATCCGCTGGCACCAAACAGTTACCTAAAGTGGACAACATCCACTATTGTCCCCACACCACATATCAATGATACAATTCTGCCATATAAGACCCCCCTCCC